AAAATCTCAGCTCGGAAACTAAGAGCATTTGAGCAGTCGCATTGGAACGCAAGATTTGCAATTTGGAACGCCTGAGATCCTGAGAGTATCCTCACAGCACCCACCTACAAGGTTGGGAATTTCCATTCTTTTTTTAGCTTTTCAAAATTTAAACTTTCTGAAAAATTAAAAAAAAATCATGGGACATCATACCTGGCAAACGAAAAAGAAATGAGCTAAGAAACAGTCGCGTAGTTCTTTTACGTTCGCTGCATAAAATCTTCGTTTAAAATACGTTCGCTTTCAACAATTCAATATGGCCTTACTGCAAAAACTTTCTTTGACGGATTTGAATAATGGAGACTCTGTTACATTACTTCTGAGCAGTTAATAAAACAGATCGATTCCCAACAGACTGAAATTACAGAATTACGGGGTGAGAATGACAGGCTTCTTTATGACAACCATGAGTTGGAAAAAAGAGTTAAGGAAATGGAAAGGTATTCCTCATTTATGTGTTTAACATTTCATGGAGTGTCGGATGGTGGTGAGTACCCTGTCCATTCAATTGTGAAGATACTAAGGTCAGCAAATATTTCAATTCAGCCCCAGGACATCGTATCGTGTCATTATTCACCAGGGAAGGATCGAAATCGTCCGATTATTGCCAAATTTTTGTATTATCACCAGCTAGATGCTGTTTGGAATAAGAGATTCGATTTTTGGGATGATTCAACGGGAAATAAAATTCATGTGAACGAACGATTGGCAGAAAAAGAAAGGGAAATTATGAACTACTGAAGACGGGACAAAAATCTGCTAACATCAACTCATAAGAATCAATTCCAGATTAAGAAGTACAGTTCATATGGCAGATGGCAACCAATTGATAACAAGAAGGATGTTGATATTTATATGGGAAATGATATCTCAGTAACTACTGACAATAAAAAATATACGGATGTTATTCAAAATGCTGCTGATTCCGACGATGTTCAATATCGAAAATCTTCTTCTTTTTTGGGAACTCCGGTGAAAAGGAAAAGGAACGTGGCTTTTAGATCACCGGATAAGCATGAATCGCAAAATGATACACAAGAGCGGAAACTTGATAAATTATGCTGTTTGGTGGAAAAACTCATTGAAAGCCATTCTCCACCTCCTAAGAAAATGACTACTAGTGGTGATGTTGTTAGCGATGATAATATGGGCAGCAACGAAGAAAAATCAACCTGAAAATTAAAAATAGTTTCTGAATATCAGAAAAACATCTTTTTTTTTCTGTAATAAAGCTTTATTTTTGAATTTCAAGGGATTTCTAATGGGTAACGACGGGGTCATACTTTCTTTAAACATTCAATCACTGCGCAACCATCATGACCAATTAAATTCTTGTTGCTTCACTAAAATGGCAGCCATATGTCGTTGCCTTATGCGAAACTTGGTTAAGTGACAATGATCCCTTGGAACTTAATATCTTAGACGGCTACCAAAAAGGTATTTTTGTTAACCGGCAGAAAAGTAGGGGTGGGGTTTTAGCATTTTTCATAAAAGATCATTTTGACTTTTCGCACGAAATTTTATCGAATGAACTAGAGAATGTTGTCTTAACTTTCAGTCTAGGTAGTAAACAGAAATTAAACGTTTGTATGATGTATCGACCGCCATCAATCAATTCAAAGCATTTAACGCAATTTGAGGATTTACTCGTGAAATTGAATTCAAAACAATGTCAGAACTCAACCATTGTGAGAGATATGAACTTAGACATTCTGGACGTGTCGCGCAATTCTCGGTTAATTGAGGAATATAAAGTGATACTTAGTTTTTCTGGATTCTTCATATCAAATAGTGAAGCAACAAGAGAAACCGCATCTAGTTCTACCTGTATTGATCATATCATCAGTAAAAATGATATGAGCTTAACTACTTTAAAAACTTCTTTAAGTGATCATTATGCGCTAGTTACCTCTATTGGACCTTTTTGGGCGATAGTGACTATTTTAAGATAGGTCGAAACTTGAAAATCTTGAACAAAAATGAAAATATTTTGAAATTCCTGTTTTGCATGAAAACCTCAATAATTGCAATTTGGAAACAATTGATGACATGTTAACCGATTTAACAAAATTATGTCTGGTTGTTTTCGACCGTTTTTGCCCCCAACAAACATAACTAAGGAAAAAACACCAAGACTGGATCACCAATGATATCATGAGAATGTGTAATAAGAGAGATCGTCTTCATGCCAAAATGATTAAGAAACTTTCACTTGAGAACATTGATTGCTTCCGAATGTTTAGCAATAAGGTAAAAGAGGTAAATAGGCGTGCTCAAAGAGACTATCATGATAAGAAAATTGAAAACTGTACATCATCAAAACAAATGTTTCAAACTTTTAATCTTTTTTTTGCGGAAAACAAAAACCAGCCCAAAAAGATATTGAACCAAACTTACTTTATGATTTTTTCGTCAATATTGGTAAACACCTGAGCAATTCTATGCCACCTGCTGGTTCTGCTTCTCAAAAATTAGACAGAAACATATCAAGTTTTGTAATTTTTAAAACGGATGAACATGAAGTTTTTAAAGTTTTAGGGGCCTTAAAAACTAAAACTTCAAGTGGTCATGATGGTCTTTCAACTATAATCATTAAATTACTTTCACCAGTCATATATGTTTTCCTGGCAAACACTTTTAAGAAATGTTTTGATACAGCATATTTTCCAGATGCTTGTAAAATTGCAAAAATTGTCACTTCTCTGAAAGAAGGAGACAGAGAAAACCCCAGTAATTATTGACCTATTAATCTTTTGACAGTTTTCAGAAAAAAAATTTTGAAAAAATAATTTTTAAAAGAATGCTAGTTTTCATTAACAAAAACAATATTATAATACCGGAACAGTTTGGTTTCCGCGGAAAACACTTTTTGTATCCATGCTATCCTTTGAGTTACTGAATTCATGCAAAAAACGATTGAGACAAAAAATATGGGCTTGGCACTTTTTATTAATCTAAGAAAGGCATTTGATACAGATAACAATTGCATTCTTCTGGAAAAATTATGCGCGTACGGCTTTCAAGGAAAATTCAACAAATTGATATCAAATTATTTGACAAACAGACAACAATTTGTTGTTAATTCGAACGGTACTTCTAGGCAACAGGTAATATCGTACGGAGTTCCGCAGTGCTCTGTTCTTGGACCCCTTTTTTCTTACTTTACAATAACGACATAAATAAAATTGTTTCGAAATCGGAATTTAGTCTTTTTGCGGATGAAACTGCTATTCTTGCTTCTTTCCCAACGGCAAGGGTAAATGATTACTTTAAAAATGATTTGCTGAAAACAGATGACTGGTGTGTGCGAAATAAACTGTCGATAAGCTCTACAAAATGTAAAACCTTACCATTTGGTAAACAATGTTTGGATTATGACTTTTCACTTGCGGGTGAAAACATAGGATTTACAAATTGTTTCAAAAACTTTGGTGTTATCATTGATAGTCAGCTCAAATTTACATATCATATTGAAACTGTGTGCAGAAAACTAGGCCGATTTAACGGAATTATGTATCAGGGCAGGGTAGCTTTTTCTCGAAAACTGCTGTTAAAGTTCTACCTGGCATATGATGTACCTATAATTTCATATGGTCTGCTTGTCTATGGGAGTACTAGCAAAACAAAATTAGAAAAAAATTATATCTGCCAAAAAAGAATTCTCCGTACTATAGTCTTCAAACGCAAAAACAAACACATAACAACAAAGTTTAATGATCTGGGCATTGATACAGTTCATGAAATTTATTTAACTCAACTTTTTAAAGAAACCATTTTTCAATATTTAAAACGTTCACCTCTTGATTTTCTAAACGTCAGTAGTTTTAGTAATAAACTAAATACACCTTCTACTTCTAACGGAATGATTCCGTTTTATCGCTGTAGGACCAAAACTATGGAAAACTCACTTTCATGCAAAATTGTTAAATGTTTCAATTTTTTGATGTCAAATAAACTCCTACCCGATAAGATCGAAACGTACTCTCAAGAACAGCTGTCAAAATTTTTAAAGGTTTTCAAAAGAAATTACATTTTAGACAATGTACAGCTGGTCGACAATTTTTTCTGATTGTTTACCCGTTGTTGTTACTTAATTGTGATAGTTATCCAGGAGGGTAGCTACTTGTTAGGTTGAAAAGCCAGTTCTAGCTATCCTGATGCAGTGAGTGATTACGTATGTATTTCTTCACTGCATCGAATAATTGAATTGAATTGAACCTCAAAAACTACAAAGATTTGATCTGTCACAAGGATTTGATCACAAAACTACAAGGATTTGATCTTGCGAGATATCACTAATTTCTCTCAAGCAAAATGATAGATTGTAATGGAACTGGGGAAATCGATTTATTGTTCCAACTTTCGAAGAAAACGGAATATTTATGCTTGGTGTGGTTTTTTTCATTCAGTGAATTTTCGCCAATCGAAATAATTTTCAACAGAATTTTGTTATACCCCATTAAAGATATCGACTTCCTGCATTCAAATGTAAAAAGATATTTACCTCGAATCATTTTTTGTAATGTTCTGGAGGATTGAAAATTGCCCATAATCTGGACTAAATTATGCGCGCTTTAAAAAATTTATTCATATTGCTGAGAGCAAAACGCGATATATATATGCGTGGCGAAATATCCCGAACAAAATCATTCCAAATTGAATTGAGGCTAGCTAACCGGATCGGTCGTATTAATTTCAAAATTCTTTCGACTCAACGTTCCACACTTTGATATTGTCCAAAATTTATAGGTTTTCAATATTTTTTTTTACCCAAAAGCTATTCGATATGAATTAAGGCACAGTCGGAACATTCAGGTCTTTGCCACGAAAGTTCTTGTTCTACCTTAAAAAAGGTCGACTGGCCTAGAGAAATTAAAATGGCACACCCTACCCCATCATAAATACAATTACCTCTCAATTTCTCTAATCAAGTAAGAAAAGGAACATTTTTCTATACTGAAATGATGGTATTTATATACCATACCGATCAACATGAATAAAAATAATATGTTACTGATTATGAATTCAATTGCTGGAAATCTGAATGTTTAATTGCTCTTCGGATAGATAACAAACTCAATCAAGTTCTCTTCAGTCGTCGTTCTCGTTTTGCGCATAGTTTCAGTTGTTAACTGCATTGACTAAAATGTTCGCGCGTCATTTTTCTCAGCCGGCACAGTTATGTCTATTCCGTCCATCCATTTCTCCACTTTGAGCTGGCAGCCTAGTCTGGATCTGAAAAATATTCAACCAAATCCCCACAAATTATTCAAAAAATCAGGACGCAACTTGATAATTCAGTCGACAACCTTCAAATCGGAAAAATGTAAAAATAAAACTTAGTTCTACGCTTAGTTCATTTTCGCGAGAAGTTTTCGTCGCGCAACTGCTGCTGAAACTGATTGCTTATTGGCACCAGAAACACATTTGGAAAAATTCTATGGCTGCTAAAGTCTTGAACCTGTTTTTTATTTTGCCAATATTTAACTAGCGAATTAAAATCAAAACGATTGATTTTCTCACATATTTCGAATCTTACTGCCTATTCACAATTCACAAGAACTAGGCCTTAGGTTGAGAATTCGACAGGAGTTGAGAAAAATTAGCGAAAAAAATCCGAATCGATTCTGTTTCTATTCGCGATTCTTAAAGATGTTCTTCTGAAAACGTTCAACAAAATTTTTTTTCAAAACAGGAAGTTTCGACTCACGTATCACTGAGTCCCCATGCCATGTCCAGCATGTCCATTTCATCCTCAGTGGCCGGAGACTGCAGTTTGTCGAAGTGCTTCTTGGAAAAGATCAGATGACACGTCACACAAGCCATTGTACCCTCACATGCACCTAGAGCATTGTTGCCAATTTCAAAAAAATGTTCATCCATGATAGAAATGACACCATCAAACGAAATGTATAGCTAAATACGGAAAACAGCTGCTGTACTCCTGATTTAAAAGCTCATTAAAATGTTCTTAATATGACCCATTTTAAAGGTTGTCTAGAAAAATACAATATAATTCAAAAATTACTTGAGTAACGGAGTAATCTTTGATATGTATGATCAGAAAACACGTTAGGTACAAAAAAGCGTGGAGCTTACCGAAACCATCGAGGTCGATGTCGTTGTCTATAACCACATCATAAATATTGGCTCCAACTTTGGCTTTGGTGCTGAGTGTTTCCCCAGTCCTTTCTTTCACAAAATTGAGAGTAACTGTTTCTCTAAACAAAATCAAACTTAATTTTTATCAAATAAACAGTCATTGGTGTGGAAAGGAAAAGTTTATAGGGGCAACTTTTTGAAATCTGACGAAATCCTGGAATGCCATATTCGCTAAGTTTTCTGCAAGTTTTGTTTTTGAGCACGTCAAATAAAAAAAATGCAAAAATTCAGTGGGTCAGCCAAAAGATGAATATTGAAAAATAGTACCGAAGAGAAGAGTACAATTAGAGAACCAAAACCACAGAATACGCTAGTAAAACAGTCATAAAAAGTAACTCTAAGGCTATACTCGTTGACTTACGGATTAGCTGATAAAAATCTCTTGATATTGACGCCAATTAGGGGTAGTTGTTTCCCATTTCGAATTATGACTTGAGACTGGAATAATCCGCGAAAAGACGTCAGAGCACGGCCATAGAAAATAAAATTCGACATTTATTTTTATTCAAGCAAAAAATGTGATGGCAAATTTAAAAACAGTATAAATTAATAACCAATAGAAAAACGTCTTGTTCCATTTCAACATTTCAGTAATGTTTTTCAAGGGTTACTTTCAAATATACGCTATGCTATACTGTTTAGCTAAAAACCTTCAATTACTCAAATTTAGCGCGGAGTCGAATTTTACTTTTGGAACTTCGACACAAACTGAGCATCATGCTTCAATCCATCTGAAATTCAACAACTAAATCAGTAATTATTTAAGATAAACCTAGATGCAATATGTTTTCTTTGAAGATTTTAGTGTACTAGTGAAATTTCGGTAAATTAGATTTTTTTTTCATATTTTTTTCTTAGTTTCTTTGCTTCAAATGAGTACATTATTGATGAATTTGTTTTATAATCTTTCAATAACTGTAATTACCTGACGCAAAACAAAACAACTTTTCTTTCTTTCTTATCGTTTTGCGTTCGCCGAAAAAATTACAATGATAATTTAAAGTAAAAAGAAATCGAGTCAAAGTTGAACAACATACCTCCCATTTGCCAAAAAAATTGCCGATATCAATAGAAAAATATATTCTAGTTTTATGTTTCATGCAAAACAAAGAATTCTAAATACCTCGCATCGTTTGAAGAACCAAACTTAGAAATCAATCGAAAAATACAACCTTTTGAAACATTGAACAACTGATGAAAAAACGATCAAAACTGTATCCAGAGATTGTTCATTGCTTCGTAAGTGACTTCATCTTTATCGACATTAATGCTACTTTTGCTGATATCAAACAATCAAAAATCAAAAAAAAATCTCAATTTCTCCCACAAGGACCAGATTTTTTTCAAATTCCAATAACAATAAAATCCAAAGTTCTAAACATATTTCACATAGATGCTCAGCTGAGCTGCGCGACAATCACAATACAAGAAAGCGCCATGGTTCAAAAAAACTGCGATTATCTGAAAAGACTGATATTTTACTTTTTTCTAAAAGATACTAAAAAAACGTTTGAAGAACAACTGCGACCGATTCTCAGCTCATTCCTAACCGATAAAGGCAAAATTCGTCAAAACCGAATCAACCTTTAAGGCACATCAAATTGAAAAACTAAATTAGACAAAATCGGAAATAGTAAATTTACAACTAACATTAAATAGAATTTCGATCATAAGGGGGGGGGGGGGGGGTATTTCAAGTGAATGTCAAGATAGCTCAAAATAAGTCAATTGCTCCACGAAATGACAGAAATTAAGACAGATATAATTTAAGAAAAAAAACAAAACTTAAAACAATAAAAAGGCCAAGATAGAACTTATCTCTAATGAAATAAATTGATTTCATGTATATTTTCCTTGCTGATAAGACCAGCCATAAATACCTGCTATGATTAATTCTAAGGCAAAACATCACTATTATCACAAAAACCTCCATAATAAGTCTTCTACTTCGCAACAACCAAAAACAAAAATTGTTGCACTATACTTATCTCACTACTAACGAATTCTAAAACGGAAACTAACCAGTCAAAAATAAAAGGCCATGAACATTCATTCAAAACAAATGTTTCACTAATAAAAAAGGGCAACCAACAAAGCTTATTAAAATAGCCTGGATCAAACAAATAAACCGTGAAATTATAAACATTTTTTTGTTTTCAACTGAGTTGAAAATAGACAATCAGTGCTGAAAACAAAACTGTCTAAGAATTTTGACAGAGTTATTATGGTGAAATGTTTCGCTAAATTCGGACCCCAAACATTACCCTAAAAACGATTTTCTTTTGGTCCGCTTATCCGATTAAAAGCTTCGCAAGAGCTTGGATAATTTTCAGAGAAAATATATCAAACAAAACTTCTTGCTCAGCGCAACAACGTTTAATGAGGACATAAGATCTGAAAAAACGTGCAAAGTCATCTTTTTGTATGCTAGTCTAATACAAGCCAATTTTATACACAATGTTGAGACCAGTCTGATTAGATTTTTTTTTCGTATTTTTAAGGCTAGTCGCATTTGCACGAAAAACTACAGCCTTAGTAAAACACGCAATTTGAAAAACAGTTTTAACTACCAGAAAAAAAAATTAAGAAATTTTTTTTCTGAAAATATTGATCTTCTTGATACCTAAACTACCTTTAGTTGAAACAAACTAAATTTACAGGGCCTTAATTAAGCATAAATAAGCTAAGGTAAGCCTGCTCACTCGCTCGAAATGAGACGAAAAATCAAAAATTTCAAACCGGGTTTTCTCGACACCTGAAAAAATTGTTGCGAATGTTTTAATGTGGTTTGAATCACGACTAAAAGTGCTTTAATCTTATATATATTCGCCAAACCAGTCTGATGATTATTTGTGGTAGCTGATTTTGCGTGGAAAACAAAAATTAAAAAAACAAACCCGAATACTATGGTCGGATACAAAAACTGTAGCAGATTTCCAACCATCGTAATTTTCTTAAACTTTCTTGTGCTGAGTAAGACGCTAGTTCTGACAAAACTTATTTAACAGAGAACCAAAGCTTACCTTTGCAAACCCAAGCGAGAAAAAAGACACCACGTAGTTCTGAAAAAGTAAAAAGAAAGTGAAAGGAAAAAGATAAGGGAAAAATAAGCAAAACTTTCGCTATTTGGCGGAATCAAACTTCTTACCCGGTATTGAGGAGTCTTACGCCCTCGCATCTACGCAATGATCACATGAAAAATAATCAAGAATAGCTACCAAAAACGCAGGTACAGCTGCTTTAACATTGCCAACGCTACCTAGCACCCTCAGGGTAGCGTCCCACCCTCCCTACCTTGGCATCATTTTTGCGTACTTTCAGTCTTAATGTGTGCATGCGCACACTCCGGCAATTTTGAATGGATGGCAGCTGAAAACGCTTTCGCAAGACAAATGCGCCCTTCGGGCGCAATTATAATGCTCAGTCAAAACTGGACATGATTGCTTAATAAACAACAACGATTTTATTTCCCGTTTTTGGATAATTGCGAGTCGGATACTCTTCTACTGGGCCCTAAAGGGCCCACAGAGCATCCTGTAAGACTGTCAATTTAAAATTTTCAAAAAAAAAAATATTTTTTTTCCATTTTTTTTGTAATTGTTTTATCAATTTTATTATCTTCTACAACAATTTTGAACATTTGCGGCAGCTTACAATGCATGTTATTAGTTCTCTCTTTTCATCTGGCTATATATGACCTAAACTACTGTAGCTCATGTAGGACAGATCTGAATTGAAATTTTTTTTACTACAAATTTCGGTTAAACGACCAAATAAAAAAAAAAAAAACCAAACTCCAAAAAAAGAAGTTTTCAGCGTTTTTGCCTCCAGGAGTGACATATGGCCCGACGGGACACTCGTTTTTTAACTCAGAGTCCATTTCTTTTAGATAACAAACTTTTTCCTTTTTCGAACCTTAGATTAGATAACCGTCTAAAAAAGTGAAATTTTTAATTTTTGCGAAAGCAAAAAAAAGTTATGCCAAACGGTTTAAAGCATCATACCACATCTCCTAGGCACTAATAGAAAGTTCTTCTTGACCAACGCCGAAAAATTTACTGAATGACGCAATGATCCTATGCAAAATAATCAAGAATAGCTACCAAAAACGCAGCTACAGCTGCTTCAACATTGCCAACTCTACCTAGCAAAAGTGGCACAAATAAAGCTAAGTCACCGTTCCAGTTTTGAATTTCCAAACAGTAGATTAGGTGTCTTCCTTCCTCGCCACGATCGCTTGGAATTGAGGTACCACTAGCCACCAATAAAGTAGCAATAAGTGCTATTAAATCGCCTATGGTTGGAAACAGACTTAGTGTCACAAAATGAACACTTTTCTAGGCGATTTAGGTTTGAACAAATAGCTTCGAAGAGTTACACTACGCTGCTTTTGTGTTAAAACTGGCGGAGCAGTTTGTGCGTAACTCATCATCAAAACAACCGAGTAGTAAAAACATGGGCTTAAATTTTAGGCCGGAACTTGGCAATATGGCAGGAGTTCACAAATTTGAGCAGCTGTCTCCTTTTTAAATAACAAAAAAATGTATTCAGTCCATCTTTAAATGACCTTTTTAGCTGTGAGGAAAATTAACTTAGAACTAGCTAAATTGATTTCCAAAACCATTATTAAATTTTGGCTCGTAAATACAGTCTCAATTCTTAAGGCATTACTCTACGAGCCACCGAACAGTAAGGTCGTTAACAATCTTTCACACAGAGGCGAAGGTTGGCTTCGCAAACACTAGCAATAACACAACAAAACGCAGCTCTATGATGAGCAATAAAAAATAAAAAGGTCTCGAATAAGTAAAAATTAGTTTACATCTCGGATTCGCTCTAGCGAGTATGAGTCTCACGCACTAACCACTCAGCCATGGACGCTTAGTACATCACAAACACAAGCCACAGATTAAGCAGAGAACATATGCTATGAAACTCCCAATTTTATGATTGTGATTATAGCAAAAAGCCTAAAAGTGAACACTTTTAATGAACACTTTTATTTGCGAGTGAGGTACGAAAAAAAGTTCGTACTAATACACTAGCTGCTCGCAAGTGTTATTGATTAAAAATGACAGATAAGAAGCTATACATTCAATATCTTCGTTATCACAACTGAGAACAAATCGGACTAGAAATTATCAGGATTACTAAAATATTCTTGGTCATATACAAAAATTGTTTTAACTGTAATTTTGTAAACCTACACAGAAACGTTGATCAGAAAGAAATATCAAACAGTTGACTTAAGCATCATATAAAGTTTTCGAATTTAAAGCTCAGATTTTGTTTTCTTTTTGTGAAACATTTTTTTCTCAGTCGGAGTTTTAGGGTTGATAGGCCACTGCTGTCTTTTCAAAATTGGTTCCAACTCTTTTAAACTGACAACTGGCATATACTCTCCTATATACTTTCGATTCCACCACACTCCGTTTTCATTTGTCATATCGGCGTAATTGTACAAATAATGGTCCATTCGTATAAAATTTGGGGGTTGTTCTTTGAAAGGGTTTTCCGAAATCAAACCCAAACTTTCAGTATCATTCATCAGAAATTTGGCTGCCAAATGTATTAACCAAGGATTTTGCTGGTAATTTTGGAAAGCAGCAAACCACATCAACCAGTCTAACCGATAATGGTAAGGCGAAATCAAACAAGGCCGTCTATTCAATTTTCCCGGTTTGCAATTAAATTCATATTCAAACCATTCTGTTTGAGGGGCGTTGGGATAATCTGACGCTGTTCCTAAAATTATAATTTCAGTTCGCGTTTTAGTCACGCTACCAAATGCACCGTAGGTGTTGACTAATCGAAAATTATCGAACGAGGAATTCATTAATTGTCGTGATGACAACAAATTCGAAACAATAGGAATGCTCAAATAAGCGATTAAACTCAATAGCAAAAAATGAACTATTTTGTAAATTTTGTTCGTTATTCGGTGGTAGTTACTATAGAGTAGCAAAGTATTCATTTTTGAAGCCTCTTTAATACTCTTCGTCGAAAACATTCTACTCAGAAATAAATCATCCAAGAAGCAAATTGATGGTAAAATTGTCAGCCAATTTAGAAAACTTAAATTCCCACTCATAATAAGAACAACTTGGAAGAAAATCTGTACAAAACCAGCGAACAATCGGCAACATCTAAGTGGCACCAACATTAACCAGGGAGCAACCAACTCGATAAAATGATTGCCCAAAGTTTCAATCATGTGAACAATTTCTGGTGACTTGTGGAGGTAAAACGAGACTGGGTTCGGAATGTAACATTCGTCTACTACAGTCACACATGAGGCTTAAGAAAAATAGGCCCTATAACTATTGGCTCAGGAGTCAGGGACACTATCTCTTGTGTTTTTCCACCTCAAATCAGTCGGAGCCAATTCGGTTCGCTTGTGACATGAGACTACGACCCGCTACTGCTTAAGGCTACTACCAAAATATCCCCCCACTCTAGAATTAAGAACGTCCCCATACTTAGGTCTCAAAATACCCAAAATACATGAACGCCGTTAAAAACCGGGTTGGAACAATCCGTTAAGTTGCTTTTTTATTAGACAGTGGAACTTTGATCCATTTCAGATGGATCAACCTAAAACTCGCCTTACCTCAACATAACAATCATAAAACACACTCTAGAAATTTAAATTAAGGACTCACATGTTGGTGCGCTCAAGCACAGGAAGTAATTAAATGGGTGAGCAACTCTAGAATTAACTATGGTAACTAGATAAGTTCAATGTTTATCAGTTTGAACGACAAAGGTAAGTTTGAACTCAAGAACGAAGTTTTATATGAACCATTGGGACACTCAAGCTGTCCACCTTTCCGCCGAAGGTTCACTCTGGTCCAGTTTGAATAATCGCTCTCTCGGGGATACTCTGTCTTCTATTTCAGATAGGACAGCTCTACTCTTGTTCACTATGATGGAAATTGCGAATAGCAATTTCCCACTCGTTTTTATTTGACAACTTCCCCGCAATTGTTCTAAAATTGTTCTGATTTCTTTTTCTGATTTTCAGTTATCGCGAGAAAATCGTGCATGACATGTTCCATTCGAAATTTTTAAAAATTAAATTTCACTCCAAAATCAAGTGTTTTCTGCTCTTCTCAAGGTCAAACTTCCAAACATGACCGACTGGCACATACTCCCCGGACTCGAGATCGATGTCCTCATCGCGTGCTGTCTTCTGCCAGTGAGTCCCAGAAAAACCGAGTGTTGCTCAAGATACAGTGCCAGTGGTCATTTACAGAAGTTTGCAGCAGATTTAAGCTTATCTACACCCCAAAATTCACAGCCATTTAAAATTTTCACACTATTGCTAAACAGCAATCAAAATCTGCACACACCTGCACCCTTGAATTTTCGCTTTTCAAGCCAATCATTTAAAAATCTCTTTTGTCCTATTCAATCAGGAAATTGTCATGCAGCATCTTCGATTTATATAATAAATATAGTATATTAGTAACAATATTTGCTTTGTTAAAATTTCTTTTTCGTGAATCCAAGTTTCACTCGGATTCACACTCAAGCCCCCCTTCCCTCTCAAGACTCAAGATCCATCCTATTTGCCCATTCATCTCGTGCTCTTCACCTTGGAGGTACTGCATCCTGAAGTGCTAGATGCGGCAAACTGTCTCAACAGCTCCTCTTCATCATCGGAACTAATCACAATCTCCTCCCAAGCCTTCAGCTGTTCATAGGATCGCATCCATTCTCTCTGCTCCTGCAATCTCTTTGCTTGGTTGGGTAGTGCCTTCACCCTAGCTTCTCGGTTCAAGCAAAAGGAGTTGTGCAGGCTCAAGCTCACGTTCCTCGCCAGGTCTTCCTCTAGTATCGACTCCCTCGCTTTGGTATTGTCTCTAGACATCTTACCCACTCTTTTCCATCCTGTCGTGATCGCATTACGATGGGTTAGCAGGGGTCTCTTGAAAGCTTCCGGCCCAATCTCGGCCTGGAACTGTCGATACTCTTTTTGATGTTTTCTCATGTGATCTTTCGTTGTCATGTACAACCAAGACGTCAGTGTCGCCCGAAACCATGGAAAGTACCTCAAGCGACTCCATACGTGCCTGACTTCCGTCGGTATGGCGAATACCTTGCACGCAGTCTCAAACAACTCGAGTCTCCTGCTGTAGTCTATCGCGTATATTGACTCAGCCGTTGGCGTCGTCGCCTCCCGATACCTCGTTATATTCTCTTCTATCCATCTCAGGGCTAACATCGTACTCACTACTAAGAGCGTCACCTTCTGCCGGTGATCCGGTAGTCCGATCGACCGAATCTCTTCCACATCCCACACCAGGCAAAGGTTCTTGTGATCTGGATACCACACCGTTTGTGCCAAGCAGTGGCATGGGCATTCCCCATGAGAGATCTCAATGCTCCTGAGATTACGCTCCCCTGAGGCTTCCAAGAGAGGCTCAAGCTCCATCATCTTCTCGTGCATCGTGTCGTTGTCTTCCAGGTTCGGAGTACTTCCCACAGGTTTACCGATCACGTTTTGTCTCTCGTGATCGCTCGTGTTTTCTCTTTCCAACTTCAGAAGATCTTCTCCCCAGATTTCGCTTAAGTCATCTCTCAATTCTTTTGGTACCGTCCCTTTGATTTTTCTCAACAACTTGTGCGAGTGATGCGACATCCGAGCCAACCTCACGCACTTGGGCACTGAGAAGGCCTTGTCCACCAGTATTCTCTGGCTGGACACTTCCACCATCGCCATGTGTAGCGGGTAGTGACTTCCGCACAAGTTGGCCATCATTGACCCTATCAGCGATTTCGCGTTCAATGGCAAGCCATAAGCTTCGCTCAAGGGAAATCCCATTTCCGCCTCAAGACCAACCTTCCAGCTCCGGATGTGTTTTTGAGTCACCTGCAACACCCCGGGCCATGATTCTACGCTCAACGCTGTCACTAAATGATGTTCAGACTCCAGTCTCTCCAGTGCCTGCAGACCACACATTCTCGAGAAGAATCCGAGAGCTGTCGCTATATTCACCGTGGTTCTCGCGTAACATTCCGCTATTATTTGCACTTCACTTTTCTCCCTTTCTGTGATGTCTTCGAACCAAGTGACCAGGTCTTCTTTTTGAAACGACAGTATTCTGACGCATGACCGTCCATCGCAGATGTGCTCTCCGTTCCCACACGTCGAATCCAGACAACTACCCGGCTCCAATTTCTTTGCTGACCCTGGGTCGCTCGTCCTTTCGCTTGGCTCTTGCATCTGGGGCGTGATTAGCTTATGCAGCACACTCAACTTCGCCAGATCTTCATCTTCCGTTGGTGCCAACCTCACTCGCTCAGTGGTTTCCTCGATCAGACTCGCATGGGGATGTGGACACCAGGAGGGTCTTAATAACTTCCATACCACTCCCAAGTTCGTGGTTAACAAGCCATCTCCACCGCCCATGTTCACTTCAACTCTCTTGTTCGAGCGCGGTATGCTTATCACCTCTGGTGTTTTCTCAAGAATCAGGCCCAGGCTCGGCCCCTCTTTCTCCACCGCGTCTATCTCCATTATTCTTTCTGTCCAAAACTTCAGTAGCTCCGCTACCTCATGGTTTCTGTGGGCTCCTCCAGCTTCCGAGTCTAAGAAGGGATTGTAGGCTATTCCCATCACTCCAGACACATATTGGTATTCCCCCTTCTCACTGAGTCTCGAGTACTGTTCTGACGAGGCCAGGTTACGGTGAACATCATGTTCTTCCTCGAACTTCTTATTAGAGAACCTCCGTACCTCGTCCAGCTTTCGATGGTTCTCTAAGGATAGTCTGGAACCATCTTCTTTCTCTATTCCTGTACTCTGATATACGTTCAAGATGATCGTTGAGACTCTTCTCTCCATGGTTTTACTTCCACTTGCTCTCTGGTGGCATGCCAGGATGGTGCTATCAGACATCATTGACATTGTCCATCTCAAGAAACATGTGGCATCTTTTCTTCTAGCCAGGCTCAAGCCTGAATTGTCCCTGGCCACGTGTTGCATCAGTGCCTGATACACCTCTAGCTTCTTGCTTCCCAACTTCAGCCTGTCATACGAGGTCAATGTCTCCAACTCTATTCCCACCAGACTCCAGGTGAACATTAATTGTCCCGCAGTTCTAACGAAGGGATTCGCCATTAGTGGCGGTGCTGATGAGGATGTTCTCATCGCCTCTTCAAAATGATCCTTCAACAAACTCTGCCAGGACCTCTTCAGATGACTTGCCATCTCTATCTTATTAACCTCGGCTTTTTGCTGGGTGGCCCAATTGCGTCGCCTGCGAGCTATTCCACTGTCCAACTTCTTCAAGCAGTCCTCCATTTCCTTCAATGTTTCGAGGGCCACCCACCACGTCCGGGAAGTGTTCCTCGTCTTGTTCCTCTCCAATGGATCACTCGTCACTTGTTTGCCCATGTCCTGATGTGCCTTCGAGATCCATTCTTTGCCGATCTCCACTTCCCCTACCTGTCCGTTCGTTGAACCTCTCTTCACGTTTACCTTCTGAGGCTTGAAGTCTTCTTCTGACGTCGAACTGGTGGAAACCTCTATTTCCTTTTCTACTTCAAGTGGTTTCCTGAGCTCCGAGCTATTCTTGTATGCCGCCGTCTTGCATCGGGCCAAGACGATGGGCGCCGTCTCTCTCAAGTTTCCTTCCGAAACAGCATCCACTGAAGGACTACCCCATCCTTCCACTTCTCTCTTCCTCTTGCGAGTCTTCACATCTCTGCTCGAGGGTGTTGTGGCTATCATCATTGATTCGACCTCTCCATCCACTCCTTCCAACTCTTGCCTCCCCCCTGCTCGAGCCTTAAGGATATTAGTACTTTTAATCATATTACTAGTCCCAGCCTTATCCCTTTTTATACCATCAACCATTTTATCCACAGTTTTTTGTTTCAGAGTAGAGCTGTCCTCACATTTCTCTTTTCTAGTCTTTGATCGTGCGTTCCTCAGCTCCACTAGCTTGTTCAGCAGCTCTTTTCTTGCTTTCTCATCCAGGCCCGTTCCTATCAGGAGCGGTTCCCCGAATCTCACTACTGCGTCCCACAGTTCCTTCTTGAACTTGTCCAGCGTCGTCTCGCTGCCCACTTCTCGATTGAATTCCCCCAGGAATTCCTGCCAGGCGTCATCCTCGAGAGATCCCAAGAATATGTCCCTGTTCCCTTCGAACGTGTTCTTCTCCCTTTCCTCCGAGCTCAAGAGTAACATCCCCATGTTGAAGGTCTCACCTGCCAATGGCAACTCTAGGTTCTTCCGCGGGGACGGGTTCAGAGGCGGTGTGGCAGTATCTGCCCAATTCTCTTCGCTCAAGTCTTTCAACAGCTCTTGAGTGGTGAGTTCCTCCCCTGATGGCCCTGGTTCAGGTGTATTCCCCACCTCCATGTCTTCTCCAGCTTCACTGAGAGTTTCATCCATACTCTCTTCCTCTGATTCATTTCTTCTTCTCTCGAGAATTCTTTTGAATCGATCCTCAACGGGTCGACTCCTCTTGTCTCCAGGCGTGTCTACAGACAGTGGTGACGGTGTCGTGGGATCCAGCTTTTTATACTCCGTCAGGGCTACATGCAGTTGACCTGCTGCATCTAGTTCTGTTCCCTCCTGTGTCACCTCTACTTGTTCCAAGCCATAGGGTGCCTTGTATTTTCTCGTGGCAAATTTTATTTCGTCCACCAATGCGACGTGTCCCTCCATCACGATCATCCTGCCATCATCCCATATGGGTAGCATATTCTCAAGTCCTTCCTTTTCAAGAATCCTCAAGACTTTCCGCACCTCATATCCAGGAGGCTGCGAACCTCTACTCTTTTTCGCTTGCGTCGTCCACGAATTTACCTTCCTCTCGGTGACGTGGAAGTAGACTGCCGCCGTGTAGCCGATGAACAGGGGATCCCAGCCATCCGTGAAATGCCTCTGCGTTTCCTCCGTCATCATTTTCGCCATTATGGAGGGAACCACTAAGGGACTATTCATTCCCAAGGTCATCCTCCTGACTGTCGGGAACTCAGGCATGGTGGCTGGTAGGATTTCTTTCTCCATTATGGCCTCCAGCTCCCTCTTGACTAGTGCAAAGCACTCCTTCCAGGCGGGGATTCTCAAGACTTCTTGTCCGTTGGCCGTCAATGGGTTTAGGTTCCAGAACTTTGGATACATTTCAATGGGGCCCTCTCGCTTGCCTCCCATTCTGCATTGCATTTGTCCCCTGAAGTTGCACACCATCATCTCAGCATCTTTCACTTTTCCGAAGAGTACCGTGTTGCTCATACGCGCCCTGAGCACTTCCTGCTGACACCAATTCAGCGCTGTACCATCCAGTACGCTGATGAGACTCAAGTGCGTCACCGAGTGACGATACGTTATCACCAAGGGATCTGGAAACGCGTACGTCACTGCTGGACCATAGATGCAGGTCACCACCTCCTCTAGACCCCGGATTATCCCCATTGGGTCCGACCTCATTGCCAGGCACAGGTCCGTCAACAGAGGCATCCCTCTGTTCGCCTTCTCCCATTCTTCTCTCGAGGTTGGGTTCTCATCTTCACCCGTCATGTATCGATTCTGCATCATGAGGTATTGCACCAGCAGTGTCTTCAACCCTGCGGCACACTTGTAGGAGCTGGTTTCAATGCTCGTGTGGACTCTCCCCATAGACAGAGGTTCTCCATACTCCATTAACCGATGAAACGATACCAATTCCCCATGGGTCAAGAGTACTAGTGCCAGATACCCATCAACTCGAAGTGTCTCCACTCCTCGACTAAACATGTATGCTGGGCCCATGTTGAACAAGTATCTGGGGTAAACCAAATACAGGGCCAAGAGCAGGCTGATGGACATGCCCAGTATCTCCTGTACGAAGGCTCCGAAGATAGTCGCCGTGGTGCCGAACACTCCTGCCAAGAATTCTCTCTCCCAGCAAGGACTCAAGAACTTGAGAATCTCGTAATCTCTCCTAGTCTTCAATTCGCCGTTGGCGTGCTCTCTCCAAAATCCTCCAATCGTCACTTCATTGGCGGCCGAGACAAATCTAACCACCGTCATGTCTCTCGTTTCCGCTAGCTCCAGTTGCTTCTCTAGAAAACTCCAGATTTGTTTCACGAGGAGTGGTGCTTCCTCCCTCGTCTTATTCGTGACGTTCTCCAGCCTTGGTGTCAGGAATGGCCACCAGCCATCCTCTTGAGTCAAGCGATATTTCATCGATTCTAACTGTTTCTCCGTCTCGACCACATTTCTTCTCTCGTGGCTGGGACCTCTAGTCCTACTGGTGGAATTTGCGACTCTCACATCCATACTCCGGAACCACAGGCTGGCCGTCAACTGGTTTATTGCCGGGTGGTCGTCCCCGATGACTGGGCTGAACTTGAGTTGTCTAGCAAAGTTCGATATCTCTAGCAAGAGTACCTCATCCAATACAATCAAGACGTCGGCTAGTCCGTAAAAGCCCCTCAGCGCATGAGATATGTCAGCCCATGCCGCTGGTAATTCTGATCTGTAAAGTCTCAAGTTTACTGGCTCCAGCTCTCGATTGGGGGCTGCCATCAGAATCCGCCATTCACTCCCTTCCGCTATCAAGATTAAGACCGCATACACGAATTGTAGGGCGGGTGGCATGCTGGCGTATCCTGGGGATGTGGTAAACACCACCTTTGTCTTGGACCCAAATCTCGAGGCTACGTTCTCTTGTACCTCATTCATCGCCGCAAATAACGCCTGAATAGCCTCCCATATCTTCTTCGATGTCGGAATCTCCTTGCCCTTCAGTTGCTCAAGAAGTCCCATCGCGTGCAGGTGGTCATTCATTCCTGCAAACAATAGCAGCTCAGGTTCACAGGGCATCTCCGACTTTATTGCCACCACTAGGGTCAACATCTGGTTCAATTCGGCTCCTGGCAAAGAGTATACCAGAGTCTCCGGCCAGAACAACTTGGGAGACGTTCCTTCGAAGTCTGATCCCGCCACAATGATCACTCTTGCAGCAGCTGGATCTGCTCTATCATAAACTGCCAGAGTCTTGGCCAATTGGGTGCCGCCACAGGGCTTCCCGTACCTGGGATCCTCTGCCAACCCTGGACCTTCGTAAGCAGCGTCAGGCAACTCCATTCCCCCCGGGTTGAGTAGCTTGTCTACTACCTTCAATTGCGCCGGGGTTGCCAACCTGATCCTGGCGATGCCGGTTCGGTGCTTGGGAGGTTCTACTATAAGTCCAGGACTCCCTAGCTGCTTAAGAGGCCTGTAGTTAATGGGTCCCATGATCGTTTTTGTGGGAATTCCAGTCAGGTCTGTAGTCTCCATTAACTTCGTTCTCGAGAAATGCGCCTCGTGTGCTTTCAACCAGTCTACGCAATGATGTCTATTCAAGTCCTCATGCGACACTCGTTCGATCCCCAGGGCTTCCGCCAACTCTCGTCTGCATTCCAAGGTCTCTAGATCCAGTTCCCTCACCTTCTCAGGATATCTCAAGCGGGTAGTCTCCCTAGACTTCTTTTCTCTCCTGCCATCTGCCACCACCACGGAGGACATCGCCGAGCCCGGAGGCGTTGATGACTCTGCCTCCTCCGACTCCATTGGCGTGGCACTCTGCAATCGGGTCTGATTGCTCCTTGAACTGTCTCTAGTATCAACTCTCGCTCCTAAGCGACCAGCCAAGGCCCTCGAGGCAAGGAATGGTGGGTTGGGAGGTGGTCCTAACGTGAATTGGGCTGTCTCCAGCAGGTCCGCCTCTAGCGTGTTTATATGTTCCTGGAAGACGTCGTTCAGCCACTCCGCTCCCCTTGGCCTATCGAAATGGATTCCATCTTTCGAGGTGTCTTCAGGGAATCCCTTGTTCTCCATGCGTTCTGCAACGTCCAACAGCCTGAGAGGAAGCACACTGTTTCGGTGTATGTCTCGGATCGCCTTGTTCAGGTTCCGCACCCTCTGGTTCATTTCTAGGGAGTTTTGATCAAACATCATGTTATAGGGGACCGTGCATATCGTCAGCAGGATGGGATCCATTTGGATCCTCAGCTCCTCAAGAAGGCAACTCATCTTGTCGCACAGCCTCGTCACTTTCCTTGCTTCTCCTCTTGACACGTCGTTGGTCCCAACCATCAGGGTGACTGTGTAAACTTTGTTCATTCCTAGCATGTCCAGGGTTGCCAACATCTGTGGCGTAGCAGCTCCAGCGAAACTCAAGACTCCAGTCTGCCAATGTGACCGGATCTGGGTCAGCACCCGCACCAGGCTGTCCCCTATAATCAGGTGAACCGCACCCTCTGGCACACGAGGTGGCGCTAGATACTGCACCCAGGCTGCGTCGTGGAAGCAGTCCCTCCTGGCTTGCTGTTCCGCACTCCAGTCCAGCCGACTATGCTTGTGGTAGTTCCCCTCTGTGTTCTTCTTGTAGCTCGTGATCACGACGTTTCTGACCGGCTGTTCCCTCCAAGTCGGGGGAAGCTCTGGCCTTGTCGATCTTTCACGGCTCTGCTGCTGCAACTTCTCACCCAGCTCCTTCAGGCGCGATGAGGCGCCACTCACCTGACTGCCGCTCGAGGTCGAGGTTGGTGTATATCCTGGTAACACCACATCCATCAGAGGACGTACAGGTTGGGTCTCTAGATTGCGCAAGGAAGGCGTCACGTCATTCGGTATCCAGACCTCTAACCCTTCACTCATGTGTTCCCTGGCCTCGCGGTCAAGGTTGAACCGTCCTCTAGCCCTGGGAGCTTCATCCACCTCCATGCGTGACTCTGGCCTCGAGCTTGTCACCACCCGTTCGTTTGACCTGGCTCCCTTTTGTGCGTCAAGCTCGCGTTGTCGTTGTTCTATCCTTTCCAACTCCGACTTTAGTTGATCGCGATTCGCGGCGTTCTCCCGCACCTTTAGCGCCTGCTGATGTTCCGCCCTTAGCATCTCAAGTAACTTCAACGTCTGATCTCGCTCGTCGACTGCCTGGTCTCTCTCCAGCTGAAGCCTCTCCCTATCCAACTTCGCCTGATCCCGATCGAGGTTCGCTTTATTCCTTTCCTTCAGCGCCTTCTCAAGCTCTTTCCTTAGGACTCCCAGCTCCGGATATGCCTCGGTCGTCTGTTGCGCTCGCGACATCGACGGCACCTTACTCGAGCTCTGGCCCGTGGATCTCGCTGTTGGCCTCGTCGGTAGCGGGAACTCTCCTGCGCCGTGTTCGGTGTTGTTACTCAGGCCGGGATTTCTTGCCAAGTCAAAGCCCCTTACTCCTCCATCCGCATTCCAAGACAACCATCTGGTCTGTGCTCGATTTGATATGCCCTCAGTGGTGTAGCCGACTATCAAGACAGCCTCCGTCGCAGACTCCCTGCACTCGCCCTGGTCCTCCAACTGGAGGATCGCATTCAGCATCACCGCCATTCTCTCGTCGATCTGGGTGTGGTCCAGGTCCCTCAAGCGTCTGTACAGCTCGTCAAGAGTGGGCCTCTGCAGAGCCGTGGGCATAGAGTTCCAGAATCGGTCTGCCATTCTTTATAACTTCGGGATGTGTGTAGATAGATGTCAACCAGCTCAAGAATTACCTTACCAACTCAAGAATTACCTTACCAACTCAAGAATTACCTTACCAACTCAAGTATTACCCAATTCAAGAAATCTCTAGAAATCTTCTCTTGCAAGCACTTGCTGTAGATCCGGATTGTCGCGTGTTCAATCAAGATTCTCTTTTTCTGTTTCTCGCTTGAGTGTAGTTGGATATTCAACTTTGTTTTCAAACTTGATCTGAAAACATAAAGCTCATTAAAACTTAGTATGTCACGTTCCTAACCTAGAGACCCCCCTTCTACCCATATGATTAAAATCTTATCATTCACATATCACTTAAAACAATTTGATTGGATCTCCCTTAAGAACATGCAGATTCATTTTATGTTTTAGCACCATCAATTCTTTCTTTTAAAATTCAATTGTCATGCCAATCACATCTTAAGATCCCTTTACCTGCGCCGCACCCCAGTACCTGACTCAAGACTCCTCCCTCACACCCGACCTGGTACCTCCATGTACCCGACTCAGGCGATGCTCAAGTAGTACTTCTTGTGAAGATGCACCATTATCTCTGTTTCTGCAAAGACCACATGTAGGATAGCGTACAATTCCCTCGAGCTCAGTTTGCCCCTGTTTGGGTCGTACACCGGCATCGAGACCTCCACTATTCCTCTTTCAATCATGAAGTCACGTAGTCTTGTCAGTGCCAATATCACGTGTTCGGGATCAATTGTGTTTCTGTCGTTGACTCTCGTTACTAGGAAGCAGAGGTATTTGCCCGGGACTTGTGCCACTGACGGTGGAAGCGCTGCTATGCCTCCCAGTCCTGGCCTCTGTCTGAACAGAAACTCTACGTTCTGGTACTCTCTTTTGAAGTCAGCCTCCAATCTTGATTTGAAACTCATGTCCGCCGTGATGCAGATCGCGCTGGTCCTGTTTGACAGGATGAAGTCGCTATCTGTTATCATGATGTTCTCTGAGTATTCATTGGGTATTTCGAATTTCGTTTTGAAATTCCTTCCTATGGTAGGCTCTGGTTCTTCTTCCTCCAGTTCCAATCCGCTTGTTTCCCTCACTTCCTTGAGCTTCTTTATCATCAAATTTTCGGTGTGGGTAAGTCCTACCCCCACTCCCCGGACAAAAATATTTATCGACGTCCCCGTCGATGTAGTCGGGTCTGAATTGTCCTTGGGGATGTCCAGTGGCCTGTCTGTTGCTGTCCATCCGAAAAGAGGGTCCTCTGTCTTCATGTAATTTGCTGCTGATACATCGATTTGCTGAATGCTTTGTCCTTCACGGCTCTCGCCCTTGACATCACGCATCCACTCTAGAATCCTCAAGTTCGTGTTCTCCCTCCTTTCTATCTCACTCCGTTCGAGATCCGTCTCCAATTCTGGCGTCGAGTAATCGTCCTGCGGATAATGTCCACCATCGTCAATGACCTGCCATTCCTCTCCGGCCTCCAGTTCGCCTACGCTTAGTAGTTCATCGCCCAACTTGTCTGGCTGTATCTTATCGATTAAGAAGTCATCCCCGTACCTATTGTACCTCATGCCTGTGCGTTTACGATTGCCAGTCCTGGTTTCCGGTGGTGTTGGTCGATCCGGCTCCATCCACTTCGGTACCTCGTTTTGCTCGGGATCGTTCCAGTCTTCTTCTACAAATGAACCTGCATCCGACTCCACTTCTATCTTTTCGTTGTCGTCCAAACTCAAGTTCTCATTACCATCATTTTTCTCTCTAGTGCCTTTCTCATTCACTTCGCACGCTGGTTCCACCACCAGGTACTCAAGACCTTCCATGTCTTTTGGCAGGCACCAGTCCTCCGGAGACGGAATGTGAGGCTTCAGATTTTCGTAATGTGCTGCTCGCCCTGTACTCAAGCGATAGAACCTTCCTTGTTGATGTACTTCCGTAATCATGAACGGTCCTCTCCATTTCTTGAGTAGTTTCTTTGTTCCCTTGGGCGGTATGACATTTTGGAAAACCCACACGTATTGGCCCACTTCGTATGGCTTTGCTCTTAGTATCTTTTCGTCATATTTCTTGCGTTGCCTCATTTGCGCTTGCGCCGTGTTTCTCCGACATAGCTCGTTTAGCTCTTGTTGTCTTTTGATCGCTTCCTTCACGTATGCTTGAGGTGACGTCCTCTTCCCCTCGTACTCCGGGTAGAAGAATGTTAGAGGCATTGCCCTTTCCCTGCCTGTCAACATCATGAAAGGACTGATACCCGTCGTTGAGTGCTGAGTACTATTATAGGCTCCTACTACTTGTGGCAGGTATTTGTCCCAGTCCGTCATGTATCTCGAGCAGTACACCCTGAGCATGTTGACCAGTGTCCTGTTCTGTCTCTCTACCAACCCATTGGTCTGTGGATGATAGGTCGTCGAGTGTGTTTGAGCAATGTGTGATCTCTTCATCAATTCTTTTGTCAAGTCCCCCACAAAAGCCTTGCCGTTGTCTGACTGGAAAGTCATTGGACAACCATATCGCGATATCCAATGCGTTATCAGGTGATCACATGTCTCCTCTGCTGAGGCTGTCTGGCACGGAACCGCTTCCGCCAACTTGGTGAAGTGATCTATTATAACTAGTATTTGGTTATAACCCGACTCCGTCATGCAGATTTTCTGATGGTCTATCTGCACCACTTCATTGAATTCCGAACTCTCGACAGACTTGAGGGGAAACTTCATCTTCCTTGGGTCTTTTACTTGAAGGCATGCTAGGCAGGCATTCACCCATCTCTCGCAAGCTTTTCTCATTCCCGGCCAGTCAAACCTGTGAAGTATCCTTTGTTG